CTCCCTCCTCCCTCCTCCCTCCTCCCTCCTCCCTCTTCCTCCCTCCTCAGCCATTTCTCACTCGAGAGTGTTGCAGGCACGTACTTCGAAGTGGTGCTCGTGTCTGCGAGCCAAAGTCTGAGAATCCCAGAGCAACTGGACCTCCCTACATGGCATGGAGGCGCGAAGCGATGGCGACGGTGGTCTCATCGGCGGTGGCGGCGGCGCTCGAGGCGGCCTTCAACAGCCCGCCGCTCGAGCCGCCACCAGGCTTGTGGCAAGAGATGCCAGCGCAGCCGCCGCGCCCGCCCCCCACGGAGGCGCCGCGGCCCAAGGCGCGGGCTCGGCCGAGTTCGACACCGCCAGTGGAGCCCCCCTTGCTAGCGCTGGAGGACGGCCAGGTGAACGAGCCCCAGGGCAAGGAGGGCGACCAGGGCGGCGTGCTCCAGCGCAGGAACCGCTGGACGCGGGGGCCCACTCCATCGACGGCGCCATCGGCGGCTACTCCGAGCCCCAGCTCGCCAAGGCCGTCGGCTCGCCAGGTGTTCCTCGACGCGCTGGAGGCGCACAAGGAGGAGGCCGAATGGGAGGAGCTCCGCCAGCTTCGCAAGCACCGCGAGATCCGCGAGCAGCGCAAGGCGGAGAAGGAGGCCCGCAAGAAGGAGAAGAAGGACAGGAAGGACAGGAAGGACCAGATGTTCAGCAGCGCGCCCTGGAGGCGGCGGTCGCGCAGCCCGCGCCGCTGAAGAGCCCCACGGCGCAGGAGGCCGGGATGCCCAAGCTGGTCATGATGTACTCCCTGGACGCCCAGGACATCGAGGAGGAATGGTTGAATGGAGTCAACATGTGGTACCTCGATCTGGACGACTTCGACACGAAGCATGAGGAGCCTGCCGTGATGGATGTGGGCGCGCAGCAGCTGGTCACCATCGACGAGCAGGAGAGCCTCAACACGGACTACCAGATGCCTGGCGTGGCGGATGCGGCCGCAGAGAAGCTGGACACCGCCGGCGCTGAGACGATCGTCGAGATCGCGGGCAGTAATCACAATGACATCTACGTGGGCATGAGGGGGCTGCAGGACCAGCGACTGAACCCGCTGGGCAGTGCAGCGGCTCCCGACGACGAGAAGCTTGTCGTAACGGCGGAGGGCTCGAAGCAGCAGGACTCCGTCAACGTGCAGATGAGCTCCAACATGGACATGGGCGTGAGTGGGCGGAAGGACCAGCGGCCGAAGCCGCTGGATGGATCTGCGACTCAGGATGACGATACGTTCAAGGCGGTGCTGCAGCAGAACGCCGAGGCCTTCTCCAAGGTGGAGCTGGTATGGGCGCAGCGTGCAGCAGCGGCGAGGCTCAAGACCGACACCATCGACAAGATCCTACATGCGCCTGGTGGTGGTGGCGGCCCTGGCCATGGTCTTCGTGATCCACGCCCGAGGGCCTCATACCTCGAAGTGGCGGTCGGCACGGAGGCCTACAAGGACATCAAAGAGCTGGAGGACGTAAAGCTCAGGTTGGAGAGCAACGGCCTCAAGCTGTGTGACGAGAGCCTGAAGGCGCTCGCGAAATACTTCAAGGACGGCGGCTGCTGGAACACCTTCCTCGAGTGGGCCGCGGCGATGCGCGAGGGCGCTGGCTAGGCCTGCAGGTTTTGGGCCTGTCGCCTGAGGGCGACGGGATCGGGGTCGGCGAAGGGGTTGTCTTTCAGGCGGGCCTCTCCCTGACCCCGCAAGGTGTTGCCTACCTCCTGGACGTGGTCATCTGAGGAGGCAGGCCCGCGCCGTCCCGTACGGCAAACTGCCTTTAGGGCGCTGGCTTACCTTACCTTACCTTCCTCCCTCCTCCCTCCTCCCCCTTCCCTCCTCCCTCCTCCCTCCTCCCTCCTCCCTCCTCCCTCCTCCTCCCTCCCTCCCTCCTCCCTCCTCCCTCTCTCCTCATCTCCTCCCTCCTCCCTCCTCCTCCTCCTCTCACCTCCCTCCTCCCTCTCTCCCTCCCCCCTCCCTCCTCCCTCCCTCCTCCTCTCCTCATCTCCTCCCTCCTCCTCCTCCTCCTCCTCCTCTTCCTCCTCCTCCTCCTCCTCCTCCTCCGCCTCCGCCTCACTTCCTCACCCTGTATGACCCTGAAGTTAAAAGTGACAACAGCTTCACAGATGGAGGGCGGAACGTTTTAACAGTTTGCCAGAGTTTCGCATTCGTTTTTACATTGTACAAGAGCTTCACGGATTGAGGGCGGGTCGTCTTCAAAATGTGGTTCTCGCCTTAGCGCCGCGCACATTCACTTTTAAACATGCAAACGTTTCACGAAACGAGGGCGGGTCGCTGTCAAAATGTGGTCATCGCCTTAGTGTCGCGCAGAATCGTTAACAAATGTGCAAGAGCTTCACGGATTGAGGACGGGTCGTTTTCATAATGTGGCGCTCGCCTTAACGCCGCGCACGTTCGTCTAAAAGCGTTGCAAATGTTCCACGGATTGAGGGAAGTGCCTCTTCAAAATGTGGCGATCGTCTTAGCGCCGCGCACATTCGTTTAACACTTCGTTTAAAAAGATTGCAAGGGAGTCACGGATTGAGGGCGGAGCGTTTTCAAAATGTGGCTCTCGCCTTAGCGCTGCGCACACTCGATTTCAAAATTTGCCAGAGTTACACGGATTCCCATGCACCAGAAATTGCATGTTGGAAAGATTCAGGATTATGCGGGCGCAACAGTTATGTTGATTCTCCGTGTGAAATCCCCAAAATGGCGTTTTGGCACGATTCTGGATCGTCAAGACGCAGCAGCAATCAAGTTGATACGTGGCGTTGAAATCCCGCGAACATTGGTTTGCCACGCTTCAGGATCTTCAAACTGTTGTCTTCCAACGAGGCACCCTCAATGGAAATGAACCGTCGTAGGGGCCTATGAAGAGGGAGCTTGGAGGGAAGGTGAATTCCAACATCGCCGATGGCTCTTGGGTTTTCACTGGTCCTCCTCCTCCTTTTCATCCTCCTCACTCCATCCTCACTCCTCCCCACTCCTCCCCACTCCTCCCCACTCCTCCTCCTCCTCCTCCTCCTCCTCCTCCTTCTCCTCTTCATCCTCCTCCTCGTCCTCCTCCTCCTCGTCCTTCTCCTCCTCCTTATCCTCCCCCTCGTTTCTCCCCTCCGCCCTTGCAATTTCCTGTGCCCCCAGAACGGAAGGCAGAAACGATGAGGAGCAAGGAGTGAGAAGCAAGGAGGAGAGACGGGGAACCTCCTTTGCGGTTCTTCTCCCGATATCATCGCCTCCGATATGATCCCCTCTTACCCTCCATCCCCTGCACACGTCGACTTCCATCCTGCACTCCCCACTCCCCTGCGAGCTCCTCCTCTTCCACCTTCGTAACCTCCTGTCCCTCTCCCACTCCATCCCACCCGACCTGTCCCGTCACCCCTCTCTGGCGAGAAGGATCCGTCAACGCTTCACAGGCTCGTTTTCAAAGCAGCAGCCTGGATCACGAAGAATAATCAGGACTTTGGCAACGCCGTGTGGAAACGTCCGTCGAACTAGAGCTACCGTGGGCGGAGGAATTTGCCATCAGTAGTCGTCTTCCGTCTCCTTGACAAAAGCCGCCGTCGCTGAGCGCGTGTCGGCCTTTTTTGCTACCCGCGCCAGATGTCGGCGGCGGGAAGCAGACTGAGTCCGACCGCGAGGACCAACCCCCGATACATACATGGCACGGCTGGCATCTAGAGTTGAAAAGTGCATCCTGGGCGGAGGGGCACTTGCAGAGCTTGTAGTACAGCCATGCACAGGCACAGGAGGAGGGACAGCAGCAGCGGCCAGCAACAGCAGAAAGAGCAGCAGCTGCCCCAGTATTAGCAGGGAGAGTGAGAGGGCAAGGCAGGGCAGCCCCAAGAAGGATATGGAATGCGACGCATTGCATGGTCTGCCCGACCTTCGAGCGAGGACGAGCTCCAAAGGAACACCATTCGCGAGAGGCTCAACCAAATGTGACAGCGCGGACCATACCTACGCAAGCTCGATCGCTTGATTGAAACTGACGTGTGGAGATGCTTTCCCGGCTCATCCATGATACTCGTGCTTCCCGTACTCATGCTCCTCCTGGTGCTGAGGACCATTTCGCCTCTCTTCCCAAACATCGATGTGATATTCTGCACCACATACAGATCTAAGACTATGATCGGTGCTTGAATTCCTACAAGGATCCCTCACGGCGCCTCTGCATTATCTGTGGTTTGCCATGTGTATGATACTTGTTGGCTTTCTGCTGCCACTGTCGCCCCCCACGGTTCAGCAGCTGAGCACGGGATGCGCACCCGAGTCGCCGTAGAACTACAATGCAATGATTACGACCTTTGGCACAGCATGCCGACGTCGACCTCCTCCACTTATCACACGGCCTGCAACCCCCTCGACCTGCTGAACCACCATACTCCATCACCATGGATCGGTCACGGACCCAGTCTGCCAGAATGCACCTTGTATCCGAGCTTCCTTCCCGTTGCGCCCAAACCTCATATCATCTGCTTACGTACTCCAGACTTCGTAATAAAAGGGAGGGGGTCTGGACCCTCCAAGACGAGTCATTTCAGACCTCCCCCGTGGGAGAACCCTCCAAAACATCGCCCCCAGACCCCCCCAGGCCCTCCAAGATAGCCTGGAAGAGACCCCCCCCCAAATGAGACCCCCCTCCCTTTACTACGAAATCTGGAGTACGTACCTGCACGCCCCCCTTGGAACAAGGGTCCCAGAACAGGAGGCCCCCCGGCTGCAGCAGAGGGAGACCCGGACCCACCTCGCCGCGTCCCAAAATTTCTCGGCGTCTGGATGTGCGCATCTCCCCTCCCCTCCTCCCTATACCTGTCCTGCCCCAGTTCCCCCAGCGAGCCCAGCCTCATGTCTAACAATGTATTCGAAATCATGATTGGCTTCCTGATTATACCTCTGTATGTTATTAGGGCCACTTCGCTACCCAAGGATGGTTCGCCCCTAGAGCGGCTCTTGGATGGTTGTGGGAGGTGCACCAGACTGCCACTTTTGCTTGCGCAGCACCGCAATATCATGTCGGCCACCGTGCCGCGGGCACTGAGCGGAGTTTTCTGAGGTCGCTTCGAGTCCTTGATAATGAACAGCGTGATGCTCCTTGAAGGCCCTGTTCTCGTGGGCGCCTCCAGACGCTCCAGGGACTCCATTCATGCAAGGAGATGGTTCCAGGAGCTCCTCCTGGGGATCTACTGACTGGGAGCCTCTTGGCCGCCTTGAAAATCCTGGAGGCCATCCTGGGAGGCCAAGAAGACCCAAGATCGTCATGACTTTCCCGTGCGATATCGCCTTGTCGGTCTTAAAAGCGTCCCAGACGGCCCACGAGGCCCGCAAGATGATCCCGATATAGCCCGCGAGCCCTGCAAAGGGCACCTAAAGACCCCAAGAGTGCCCGCGAGAGGCCCAACAGAGCCCTCAAGAGGCCCCCAGGAGGGCCCCGAACGGAGCCCCAAGATGACCCCAGATGGCCCCTCCCTACTGTTCCAGCGCAGCGCTGGGAGAACACGCTATTCAATAGTACGCTCGCATCCTCGCTCGACATCTCACCACACTGGCACTTCCAGAAGGCAGAGGGCGGCGAGATTCGCCGTAGGCGTCTTCGATCGGTGGTGATGATGATGATGATGATGATGATGATGATGATGATGATGATGATGATGATGATGATGATGATGATGATGATGATGATGATGCGTGTCCAGCTGATCCACCCTGATCGCTTTTCCCGTCCTCCTAGTTCCCCCTGGTGCAGAGGACAGTCGCGTGCTCCCGCCCATTTCTAGACCGTTGACGTGGTCTAAGCATGTGGCCAAGACCGCGGCTCCCTTGAGGATCACCTGATACGTTCCTATGTACGCGATTGCTGCTTCATTTGCTTCTCTTAACATAGCCTTTCTGGTCAAGTACAACGCGTAGGCCACACATGCGTAGACAAAGCAATGTCCTGAGGGGCCAACCAGATTCACGGAGTCAAATGGCCCCTTGCCGACGAATCACATCCAGAGAGCCACAAGAGGGCCACCACGGAACTACGAAGAGGCTGCGAAGCACGAGAGGAACAGGGGCCCCAGCCACCGAGTCAAAATCCCGAAGGCCACGAGAGTCACCAGGGAGCCGCAGGTTCAGGGTCCCTCATACCTTCATTTGAAAGTTGCGTCAGCCAAGGTTTGTCTAAATGCACGGAGACCCCATGTTGTAGGCGGACGGGAAGCCAGGCCGAGCGACGGTCAGTGTAGGCAGAGCAGAGCCAGCTGGACCCGCGGGCGCACATCGACATGCACTGCCACCTCGAGCAGCTCGAGGGCATAACGGAAAAGTACCGATGCTCGACGTAAACGAAAACGTAACCGAATCGAGCCAAACAGCTTGAGAAAGAGCTCGTAGCTACGTGGATGTGGAGCGGAAGGCGAGTCGACCAACTGAGCCAGAGCGTTCCGAACAATCGCTCCAAGCGGAAGCACCCTGCCGAGTGGAAAGAATGGACACAGCAGGAAGCCCGACGTGCACCCGCGCTGGTCCTGGTCAGGATCTGCGTAAATGCACACCCGGCGTCCTCCGCAGACAGCGCCGGAGGGGGGAGAAGCGGGGAAGCTGCGCAGGCCCTCTGGGAGCAACGTGCGCGGTGGCGGCCTGCCGGGCTACGACGCCAGCGTCTGGGCGCTGGGTGGCGCCTGCCGCGCCCTTGTCACGCGGCGTGCCCTCGGGAGCCAAGAAGGGGAGCAACAGGACTGACGGCGCGTGGCCAGCAAGGAGAGAGGAGAGGGGGTCAAGCTAGGTGCGCTCGCGCCCAAATCTGACAGCCCGCCCCTCCCGCTCATCCCTTGCCACTGCCTGGATTTCTTGTCTATCCGCCGACTGCGGTGTCCCAGAAAACCTTGCTCCTCAAATGACGCCGTCGAGAGAGGCGCAATCAGAAAGGCGGGTCGTTATGCATTGGAGGAGATAGTGGCGGATGAGCAGGAAGGAGAGCAGGAGGATGAACAGGAGGATGAGCAGGACGAGGAGGAGCGGGCAAGGCGGGAGGACCAGGGAAGATGGAGGGGACAGGAGTGGACGGCAGCGACGAGGAAGGAATCGGTTCAGAGATGTAGCCCGCGCTTGGGCAAGCATTCTGAACGACGGGAGCGAAACACTGATCCTGAAAGTGTGACCGACGATGCAGCGGCAGCATCACCACTGGAGAGCGGAAGCCAACTCGGGACGACGATGTGTAAAAGACAAGGTTCGGAGTAGGCGGGGAAATGATAACAACAGCATCTGTGGGGAGGGGGAGAGAAGCACTAATGTTCGTTAACGGTAAACGGGGACATGCGTACATGCATGAATGCATGCATGCATACATATATGCATGCATAAACATAAGCATACATACGTAGATGTATTCATGCATACAAGAATGCATGATCGCAGGCATGCATAGATACATACAAACATGCATACATACATACATGCATGCATGCATACATACAGACATACGTACGTACGTACATACATATATACAGACATACATACATGCATGCATACATGCATGCATACTAACATACATACATGCATACATACATTACATTGCATTGCATTACATTACATTACATTACAGTATATTACCTTACCTTACATTACATTACATTACATTACGTTACATACATACATACATACATACATACATACATACATACATACATGCATGCATGCATGCATGCATACACACATACATACATGCATACATGCATGCATGCATGCATGCATGCATACATACATACACACATGCATACATGCATACATACATGCATGCATGCATACATACATGCATGCACGCATACATGCATACATACGTACATGCATACATACATGCATGCATACATACGTACACCACACACATACTACTACAGTATATTACATGTTCATGCCATTACATTCCGTTACAATACAACACATTATATTAACTTACATTACATTACATTACACTACATTGCATTCCATTGCACTACACTTCGTTACAGGACATTACATTAAGTTACACTACATGTACATGAACATATACATCTACAGTACATTATATTACATCACGTTACATTGCATTACATCGCATTGTATTACATTACATTGCAATGCATTACATTACATTTCAATACAATACAACACATACCAATTCATTACATACATACATACATACATACATACATACATACATACATACATACATACATACATATGCACACACATATACATGCACATACATGTATAAATCAGAGTGAGGGGGCCGAGCGGTCAGTCATTGCCCCTGGGTGCGTGGCGGAAGTGGGGATCCGTGGAGGGGATTTTGCTTGTGTTGTCGTCGTCCCCCCCCCCGCGACCCGCCCGCAGCCCACCCGCGACTCAACCCGCGAGCCACCCCGCGAGCCACCCCGCGACCCACCCCGCCACCCACCCCGCGACCCACCCCGCGACCCACCCCGCGACCCACCCCGCGACCCACCCCGCGACCCACCCCGCGACCCACCCCGCGACCACCCCGCGACCCACCCGCGACCCACCCGCGACCCACCCGCGACCCCCCGCGACCCACCCGCGACCACCCTGCGACCCACCCCGCGACCACCCCGCAACCCACCCGCGACCCACCCTGCGACCCACCCGCCCACCCGCGACCCATACGCGACCCACCCGCGACCCATACGCGACCCACCCGGCGACCCACCCGCGACCCACCCCGCGACCCACCCGCGACCCATACGCGATCCACCCACATTGATTTAACGAAAAAATCGGCGCCTGCGGCGGGTTCATTGCATAGCTTGTAAAAGTTGGGCGCCTGCAGCGGGCTTCTTCAGAGCCTCGCAGACTGACGACGTCCTCGCCGCCCCCTCACTCTTATCCGCAATTGCGGGGTGCTACGTCCATGCATGCATGCATGCACACATACATACATGTGTATGTGTGCATGTGTGTATGTACGTACGCGCGTATGTATCCACATTTGCATATGTGTGCACGTACACCTGCGCCCGAGTACACGCATTCGTTAAGCAGATACCACATGTGTCGAAGCATGCACACACGTGAACACTGTCAAGGCCCAGCGCAACAACGCAAGAACCAACCAAAACATTACAAACAAAACAAATGAAATTCGATCTGAGAGAAAGAAGAACACGAAACCATTCGAAAACGCTAATCGTCCGTCGGGAACCGATTGGAACCCGCAGGAGCCTACTGGCCTGCCAGGCGCGCGCGCGCGCGGGGCGGCCGTCAGGTCGCCAGTGGCGGACCCATCCGCCAGCCGCCCAGGAAGGCCGGGTCTTGAATATGTCCGGTCGGCCATGCCATGTACCTGGCCACGCAAGGGCGGCAAACGATTTTCAAGGCCGGCGGCGGACAGCCGCGACGTGATGCGCAGTCGCGCCGATAAAGCAAACGCCGCGCAAAGGCACCGACACCGGCGCGAGTTCGTGCGTCGCGCCTCGTGCCTGCTCTCCTGCATCCCACATGCCACATCACACCGCCACCATTTTCCCTCCTCCCACCTGCGTTACATCGCCCTCCTCCCACATCCTTGTTGCCTGCCTCCCCCCCCTCCCCATCCAACCTCTCCCGTTCGGCCAGTCGCGGGGATGGCGCCCCCACTGGCTATCTGGGGGCCGCTCAGAGGGTGGCCGTCCAAGGTGCAGCGCAGCCCGGGCCAGACTCATCTTGAGGCCGGCCCCAAACCTCGACGCCAGCCGAATGCTGCCGGCGCTCTTTCTGCCGACCACCCGGCTCGCAAGGGGCAGGGGAGGGGGAGGGGAACAACCTAGATGCGTTCGCGTCATGTCGGACGTCGCACACCCCCCATCCTTACCATGGCGTAAATATCCTTTCTATTCGCACACTCGGATGTCGAGCAAGGCAATGATCGCGGGAGGGTGCGCGATGCATGGTGGCGCACGGCATGGCATGGCGCATCAGGGCACGGCAGAACGTAACATGCCATAGCGTGGCGTGGCATAGCGCAGTGACGCATTGCATCACACAGCGTTGCAACGCAAAGCATGGCATCGTACACCGGCGCAGAACACAACACCGCACAGCATGTCAGGGCATGGCGCCACGTTCTTTGGGGGGGTTGTGGATCGTTTTCGAGAGGGCTGGGCCGGTCTGGAATCGTGGCCCCTGTCTAGTTCCTTGGGCTCCCCGACAAACTCCACGCAGGGCGGGGCTGACGGAAGGCATCCGCTGGCTCTGCTTCCAGCATCGCCTCCGTAAACCAGAAACGGAACTCCCGTTTGATACATCCTCAAAACGACGACGCCCCAAAGCGGGGGGCTTTTGCGGCCCAGAAAATCAACGAATCGGCACCGAATGTGCAATCATGTCCGACCATTTTTTCGGAAAGCATTTTCTAAATTTGGGGGCGTATCTGGAAGGAAAGCCAGTGCTGCAGCGGGAGCGCGATTCGGAACGAGCGGAAACGCGGAAATGAGGCCAGCGCCGCAGAGAAGCACGATTCGGAACGAGCGCAAGCCCGATAATGAGGCCAGCGCTTCAGCGAGAGCATCATGTGGGATCAAAAACCCAAGCGAAAACCCAGCTCCTGGGAGGCACGCGGAAGGGGGGCCCGATATCTTCCGGACGTCTTCGGACATCATCAGGGGAGAAAGGAAAGTAGTATTCACATTGTGAAAGTGTAGAAGGGGCAGGGAGAAGAGGGCGGAAGGGGGATGGGGAATGGGGGGCGCCGACGGTCGTGGGGGTCTTGGAGGTGCCGACCGCGATCGTATCGGTGGTCGCGCGTGGCGATCGGACTGGCGGTGGTCGTGCTGGAAGGTGCTGGTTGTGATCGTGTCGGTTGTGCTTGTGGTCGGCCTTCTGGTGGAGCTGGAGGTCGCGGCGGTCGCGCTGGCGGCGGTCGCGCTGGCGGTCGGTCTGCTGGTGGCCAGGGTGGCCCCGCTGGCAGGCGCGCTAAATCAGCGGTTCGTCGTGCTGGCGTAGGTCGCACCGTCGGCGGTCGCTGCGGACAACTGCCCGAGGGCGCTGAGGACCATCTCGGCGCTGCCCGTCTGTAAGGTCACGGAGATCTCGCGCTAGGGGCGGCCCAAAGCTCGCCCCGCTCGTCCCCCCGCGCAGCTTCTTCGGAGGACCTCCCCCCAGCCTCAAACACCATGGGGATGAGGCCGAGCCCGTGTCGCGGAGGGTACCGCGCCCCCTCGCCGTCGACCTCCTAGGCCGCCGCCAAGCCGTTCCTGCGGGACCGGGCCTGCCTGCGCGGGGCATACGTTGAGCGCGCGCAGGTCACGGCCCAATCCACAAAGATGCGGCGCCCAGCATTGCGGTCGACGGTGGCCACGTCGAGCTTGGCCTCCTCAGCGCCGCCATTGGGGAGGCGACGATCCCACCCTGGCACGCGTTGCTCAGTGGGGGCAGTGTATTCGGTACGCGACGCGTGTCGCTTGGAATGCCAGTCCATCAGCCAATTGTGCCGGTCGTTCTGAGACTCTCCCGCTTCGCAGTTTGTTTGCGCGCTATCCCTTCCGGTCGAGTGGCTGGCTACAGGGTTGCGCGGTGGTTTTGCTTTCGTGCTTGCATGGGGCCCCCTGGGCAGACGGGCGCGTCCAGCCGAGTCTTCAGATCCGTCAGAAAGTGTTCGTCGGGCTGCGCGGCGTCGCCGGCGTGCCGGGGCAGCAGCAAGGACCCCGCCCCAGTCCCTCAGGCGGTCGTCCTCGTCCAGCAGCGTGTCCAGGACCCGCTTGTTGCTAACCTCTGAGGCGGCTTTCCGCCGGTGCCCCTGCCGCTTGTGCTGCGGCCCCCGCGTGTAGTCGAGCAGGTTTTGCGGTTCTCCTCCGAGCGCGCGGGCGTCCTGAAACGCTTGCTCTGCCGCGGCGAACGCCTGGAGGGTGCGCGGGCAGCGGGCGCGAAGCTCCTCCAGGGTGCTGACCCCTAGGCAGGTGGCCTTGTCGTGCAGGCAGAGGGCCCAGCTAGTGGCGTACGCGGCCGGGGCGGCTTGAGCGGCGAAAAGGAAAGCGCACCCCCCATCGGAAAGGCGCAGAATGGCTCGCAGGCGCCGCACATCGTCCAGGGGTTTCGCGAGGTTTCGAGCGAGGCGAACAGCACGTAGTCGAGCTCCCGCACACAGCCTGTCTGCAGGTTCGCCCTGAGGTGGTGCGTGACGCATCCCCGCCCGTAAGTGCACAGGAACGCCGGCCGTTTTCAGTTCACGCAGCCGCACGGCGAAGGCCCGCGCGCGACCCACTGCCGCGGCGCCGTCGGTTCTGGTGGGCACCAGGAGCCTGTCCTCTTGTTGGTCTAGCTACGGTCCGACGCAGAGCAGGTTGTCAGCCCGGAGGACGGCGAGTCCGGCTGGCAGCGGGGCCCCGCAGTCGGCTGCCCATGACTGCGTCTTGTCGAGCATGACCGACAGGCCAAGGCGGGCGAGCTCCTCAGGAACCAGTTGCGTCGCTGCGGTGGCGTATGGTTCCGGCGCGTAGACCGTGATGTCGTCCAAATAGGAGAACACCCGGCACTCTGGGGACAGCTGTTGGATCCTTCTGTCAATCTCGCTCAAAGGGCTGGGGACAACGGGCACCCTTGGTTGGTCGACCCCGCTGGTTACCCCGCTGGGCTCGGGGCAACCGCTGTCGCCGAAAAAATAAGTGCATCGTCTCCCCTCCTATCCAGTCGTCCGCAGTCCTGAATAAAGCCAGCGCCAAGGCACGGAGGCTGCTCAGGATGTGGTGCCAGGGCAAGCTGTTGAAAGCCAGTCGAAGGCGATTACCACGCCCTGGGGGCTCGCTTCGGTGAGCGCCGAGATGCACGCCCCCCTCTTCATCTAGCCCCTCCCCTCCCCTCCCCCCCTCCCCATCCAACCCCGCCCCTCCCCACTCCGCTCCCCACTCCGCTCCCAACCCCGTCCAACCCCTCCTCTCCCTCCCATCCCCCTCCTCCCCATCCAACCCCTCCCCTCCCCACTCCGCTCCCCACCCCGTCCAACCCCGCCTCTCCCTCCCATGCCGTCCCTCCCCATCCAACCCCTCCCTGCACCCCCCATTCCGCTCCCACCTGCTCCCCTACCATCTGCTCCCCTCTGCTCCGCTCCCGAACACCTCCGCCCCTCCCCTCCAATCCCGGTCCCTGGCCCCAAGGCCCGAAGGAAGGGGCACTGATGCCGATGGTCCAGCATCGGGTAGGCCGCCATCGGCCGCGCGGACAGTTTCTGCGCGCCCTCCTGGCCAAGGGGCCGAAGGAGCAGAGCGGCTTGGATGAGACGAGGAGAGGCAAGGCAGGAAGATCGCCACTCCGCGCGCGAGAATCCAAGGGAGCGCCCCAAATGACAGTGAAGGGTGCGGGGCAGTGACCCCTCAGATGACGAAGAGCGGGATGGACCTACTCGGGGGAAAACGATGGAAGAAAGCGTGGTCAAATGCACGAGGGCGGGGGAGAAGGGGGTGTGCGGAGCGGGAAGGGGATAAGAGGAGAAATCAGAGGCGATGTGAGCGGAGATAATGGCGATGAGAATTAGGAGCTCTTTCTTCTGGAACTGACAAGACTAAAGCACCAAACAACGGTCAAGCACACGTGCCTGACGATTTGCATCCCTAAAGCCAGCCACGAAACATGTCAGAAACCTCACCGGAATGGCCACATCGGGAACCCTCCAAGGGTTCCGCTTCACATAGCAACTTCAATCACTTCGACGGGCAACCCGCATTGCAACCGTTTGTACTTTGCGTGTGCGGGGGGGGTACCTCCGGAACTCGGCTCCAACGACACGTGCCCATCAGGGTAGAATAACAAGAGGGTCAGTCAGTCAGTGGAGCAGCGACACATGGCGCATCGGCTAAACAGCACGGTATTGAATTCAGCAGCTCTGATACATAAACTCTCAAAAGACACATCGCATAACATAAGTAAAATGGATATTTGCGCGCCAACCCCAGCAACCAGGGCTGCCCCCTAGAGGGCAAGCCGCGCGTTAAGCAAGTCGGAAATGAATGAGGCAACACGCGCACACGGGAAAAATGCGGTTAGTAAATCCTCCGGCGCGCAAGTCTTCAGTCAGAGAAACCCTGCCGGCTAAGAAAGGCAGGCGGAAGAGGAGGAGGAGGAGGAGGAGGAGGAGGAGGAGAGGGAGGAGAGGGGGGATGGGCAACCAGCAGCAGGCCGTGGGCACATCTACTCTCAGAAAACGAACGTCTGGGCAATGCTTCTCCACCAGGCTCTACTGTAGACAGGGCCGAGCTCAGCGCGCACAGACGTGCCAGAGGCCGAACATGCTTGCGATGCCTCCTCGCGCATTGCCCGCACCCATGTCAACATGGGGCGACCTCGCGCTCGCCCCCCGCACAAGACGGGCGGATTCAGGCTTCTGGGCGCGAAGACTGCAACACGAGTTGCTGAGTCCGGCATGCCACCTAGCTTCCCGAACAAGTCAAGCTGCTTCATGAGAATGCGGCTGCTCGAGCGGCGCTGCCTCGCTAGCTGCCGCGCGCTTTCGTTGGATACGTGGGAGATCATCGAATGAGGGATCTTCAGGATCATGCGAAGACAATGGGACTGAAACGCGTCAAGTTTACCCCTCCCTGCTTTCCGCAGACACAGAGCCTCGATGCTGGACGCGAGCTCGGAGATGTCGCAAGCGTTGAACAGCTGAAACTTTCTTCTCCGACTGACGTTCGCGCGGCCCCACACCGGGCTCAATTTATCCGAGGGCCCCCTGGCTTCACCCATTCTGCGCGCCAGAGACGCGCCTGCGTTGCAGTCCGCGTTCAAGAGGCCTCCTAGATATAGAGCTGAACTTGTCGGTCTGACTGAGTCTCCGGTGGATGCGAGCACTGGCGCCGCATGCCGAACTTGTAGATGCACCGTTTTCCCTCCGTCGGGCCCCAAGCCGAACTTCCATGCACGGGGAACAAGCGTGCGCGAGGAAGGCTGCAGACGGGGGATGTCGTCAGATATCGAGGCCGCGTCGTCCGCATACGCTACGTTCAAGCACGTTCGCCCTTGAGCAAGTGGACCGAACTCGCGAACAACCGCCCCTTCGACATCTGTCAGCAACACGGACAGCATGATGATGAACATATAAAGGCTCAATGGGCACCATTGCGCGATGCCCGATTGTTGGTCGAAGATGCCAAGACTCCCCGTGCGCATCACGCACTTCAAACGTCCGGTCATCGTCAACCTCTGCAATGAGATCGACATACTCATCAGGAATGCCAAATCGGGATACGGCGAGGACCAGAGCAGCCGCGCCCACTCGATCGAACGACTTTGACCAGTCAAACAGCAGCGCGGACAGGCATCCGTCCGTGGTCGTCCATGCCTTCTCGATCAATCTCTGCGCCAGAAAATATGCGTCGCTAGCTCCACGGTGTTTTCTGGATCCGAATTGCGCTGGTCGCGAGCGTTCCTCACCCCCACCCCCCCTCCATCGCGCGGTGCAGGACGAGGGCGGCGACAACTTTGCACCCAACAGACAAGAGCGATATGGGTCGGTAGTTCTCTGGCAGAGACAAATAACCCTCTCTGAACACAATGGATACACTGAAACCGTTCCACTGCTTTGGCACGGTCTTCTCCCCCAAGCACACATTGCAAAGATCGAGTAGGACATCGCGGGCGTCTGCGTCAGACCCCAGCGCTTTCCAGAGGTCCGGGGGGGCGCCGCCAGGTCCCGAAGCCCTCCCCGCCCGCAACTTTGCAAGAACTGCCGACAGTTCCTCGCTGGAGAAATCGCCCGCCCGCAGAGGCAACACCGGGCCAAGTTTGTCCCCGCGTGGAAGAGCTCTGCGCGGCGGCGGCGGTTCCCCCTGCACCGCTGCGCAATACTTTGCCACGGCTACAGCGCGTTCATCACCCCCGACGAGATTGAAGGGGAACTGGGACACACAAATAAACACACAAATAAAAATATCCCCCATCTATAATATTTTCTGGTTTTTGTGCACCCCCCTCACCTTCCATTTTTTCCCGTATTTGCTGGGAATCGCCGATTAATTGTGTCTGCGTGTTTTCCCCTCCTGAGAGATGTCCACTTGCGCCTCTAAGCCGTCCTTCTCGCTTGAATCCTCTCTGTTTGAACTGCTTCAAACTTCTCGAATCCCCATGTGAAAGCGCGTCGTTCAGCCATGATCCCCGGTCCAGCTCCGCCGATGCTTCGATCTGCCGTGACAGCAAAATCTCACTATCAACATGGCCGCCCGCGCGAGCTTGGCTGCGCCGTTCTATCACGCTCAAGGGGCACTGTCGCATCCAGGGCCAGTTTGCTTGCATGGGACGTCGGTCAAGGCAGACAGCCGCTGCCGCACCCATGCCAGAATTGACCCGGGCAGCCACTTCGCCCGCGGTTTCCGCGCCGATAGCCTCGCTGTCGCCGACCTGGCGCAAACACTCCGAAAAGAAACGCGTCTCCACGTTCTCCTGGGTGAGCGATGCCAAATCCAAGGTGCACCTCGCCGGCTTTGCAAAGATATTTGGAATCTCCACAGCAAGCCGGGCAACGACGAGGAAGTGGCGGGAAGAGAATCCAATCGACTGTTCCGCCTTGACCTCCCGCACCGCGCCCTGCCACCTGCGCCCCACAATCGAGCGGACGATCTCGGCGAAATTCTGCGGCGCGGGCTCCGAAACTGGCGTCGCCCAAAGGTCAGAATAGGCCACTTTCTGGCCATCTAGTCTGTCCAGGAACGCACAGGCAAGACCCATGTGGAGCGCTGTGCATACTTCGACGAGCATGTTCTGATTGCTGCGAGCGTCGGTCGCAGTGCCCGTAGACCCCCAAGCACATGGCCCGACAACACCTGCATGCTCGCACGATGGGCCAAAACGAACGCTCATGTCATCACAAACGTAGAAAGGTCCGCGAGGCCTGGTACGAGACATGAACTGGTGATGGTCACTACGGAAGTCGTGACGCACATCAAGCTCAAGACCAGACTGCGGACAGTACGCCGTGATGATAGACATGGAGCCGCCTGGGACTCGAAGCGTCAGGCTAGCAAGTCTGCTCGACTCCTGCACGAAGCTCATGACAGCGTGCCGGGCGGAAGGAGCAACCACGAAGCCCACCCCTGCGTGCTCTCGAAAATTGTCGGCCCCCCCGACATAATGACTAAATGCCCATCGTGTTCAAAGTAAGGGGTTGTGCACAAGTGTGTCTCCTGCAAGCAAAGCGCTGCGATCCCTCTCTCCTCCATGGCCTTTACTAGCTGCTCCAATTTCGTGCAACCGCTGTCCAAAACCATGCCTTCCACATTCCACAAGGCAACGGCCGTGACGTGTCTCTGAAATGTCCTGCACGCCCCTCCTGCTCAACAAAATGAAGACCAAGGACGGGTGCGTTCTGATTGCGCTGGTGGCATTGATGGTGACGGCAAGGTTGTGAAACGTATGGTGGAACGCCTGGCTCGGATCTGCGTGGTAAAGCTTCGTCTAAGCTTCCATGCCCAAAACTGGAGCCAAAGTGCTGATAGCCGATGAGCCGTGCAAGTCCCTAGTGGGACTATTTCCCCTTCCCTCCTTCCCCTTTGGGGTCGTGTTTGCCGATCCCCTTAGCTGGGAACCTCTGCCATTTCTCCCGCGGTGTCTTGGCCATCTCTGGGAACTGTGGGAAATCGGCCTGGGTCAATCAGTCCTCCCAGCCTGGGCCATACTCCACTTTCAGCGTGCCGCCGTCGATGGTCACCTGCAGCGCGACCTCGCTGCCGTCCCATACCTTGCCCTCCACAGGGTCGGCCCAGACGCTGGTGCTGGCGTAGCCCCACTCCTTCATCATCCGCTTGGATCCAAAAACAAACGAATTCACGATCCTCTCCGGCAGAGCTCTATCCGGTTGGCCCAGACCGTGTTGCCGCCCACCTTGAAAGCCTTCTTGCGGATCGTGTGCACTGCGTTGTCCCTGCCGGCCTCGTCCCAAAACTTGGCAAAAATCAAGCCCCTGAACTCGCATTTGACGTATCTGTCCTCCGGCTGGGCCGCATAAGTCTCCCAGACTTTATTATTCAGCCACTCCTGGGCCTCATCGAAACCCGATAGCGACTGTAGCCCATCAATCACCACCGTCAACTGTTTAGTGTCAATGCTGTTCGCTCCACCGGTGGCGTTGTGGGTCGGGGCCTTCCCTTTGAGCTGCCCGACCTCCACATCCAACGCCTTGATATGGTCCCATACTGCAATATTGGCGCTCAATGGTGATGTCGGTGCGTGCATGGACTCAACCGCGTTCTC